CTGGGCGACGTGCAGCACCAGGTGGTAATTCAAAAGGCCAACCACGTCCCAGAGGAAGAAGACTGCCGGCAAGACGAACAGCACGCCGTGGACAATGCCAGGGAGCAGCGTAGGACGGCGACCCCCGACACGGAGGAATGACTGGACACGCGGGCGCTCAACGGAAAATCCGGATCGCCAGACACCGAATGGTGTCGAAGGGCAGCGGTGGAGGCGAGCCCCGACCGAGCTGCGAGGCGCGTCCGTCGACCTCAAGCGGGAAGAGGGGCAGGCGGCAGGCGGGTTCCGAGGCGCAGACCACCAGACGGCCAAAGAGAAAACGCTGGTGGGGATACGCGAAGCGTCAAGAATCCCACCAGCACTTTCGGGCGTAGGTGGTGTAGAATGGTTTATCTTCCATCTGCCCCTCTTCCCCTTCGGGGAGGGGTTTACCCCTCCCCCTTAACCCCCTCCCCTGGACCTGGACGGGGGGTCCTCCGAGGGGTTGGAGCGTCCAAAATGGCCCAAGATGGCTCCAAGATCGCCTCGGAGTGCCCAACAAGATGGCTCAAGATATCCCCAAATGCGTCAAGATGGCCCCCAAGATGCCCCAGGAAGCCCCAAGACCGCCCCAAGACGGTTACAAATGGCCAAAGAGTTCTCCATGGAGGCCCCAAAGAGGCCAACACCATTCCAAAACCTGCATATTGAGATCGATAGTGAGATCGATAGTGGAATCGATAGTGAGGACGACTGCAAGGTCGATCGTGAGACCGACAGCGAAGTCGATTTAATGAGATCGATTACGAGATCGATCGTGAGATCGCTCGTGCGACCCATAGTGAAATCGATTCTGAGACCGATAATGATATCGATTGTGATATCGATAATGGAGAGAGCGTGATCCACAGCCGCTCTACTGTGGAAAATGCCCCCCCTCTTCCTCCGGAACCCGGGCCCCCCCCCCTTCGAAAATCCCCCCTCTGCTGGACCCCCCCCCCCCTTCCCCCCGGCCCCCCCCCCCCTCCCCTGACCGCCCCCCCCTCTCGGAAAACCTAAGGGGGCCACCGCTGGTTCGAACGCCCCCCCCCCCCCCGGAAAACCGGAAAAACCGGGGGGCCACTGCCGGTTCGAACACCCCCCCCCCCGGGCTCCCCCGGAAAAACCAGAGGGCGGTCACGATTCGAACCCGGCTCGACCCCCCCCCTCGAAAACCGGGGGGGTCACTACCGGTTCGAACCCCTCCCCCCCCCCCACCGCGCTCACCGCCAGCAAACGACTCCTGGGCCCCTACCACCGTCCTGCTGTCCCCAGCACCACTGTCCTCACCACCGCTGTCCCCGCTGTCCCCACCACCGTCCACACTGTCCCCACCAGTGCCCCCGCCACTGTCGCACTGTCCCCACTGTCCCCACCAGTGTTCCCACCAGTGTTCCCACTCTCCCCACTTTTCCCACGGCCCCAACCACTGTCCCACTGTCCCCACTGTCCCACTGTTCCCGCCGCTGTCCCACTGAGCTGTCCCACTGTTCCCACCACTGTCCCCAGTCCCCACCACTGTCCCCACTGTACCTCTGTCCCATTGTCCCACCGCCGTCCTCGCCACCGCCCTGACCACTGCCCCCACCACCACTGTACCCTCCACTGTCCCACAGTTTCCACCACATTCCCACTGTCCCCACACCACTGACCTCACCACCGTCGTCCCCGCCACTGTCCCAGTCCCCACTGTTCCCACCAGTGTCCCCGCTGTTCCCACCAGTGCACCCACCAGTGTCTCACTGCCCCCGCTCTCCCCACCACTGTCCCACTCCCCCCACTTTCCCCGCGGTCCCCACGCACCACTGTCCCACTGTGCTGTCCCACCGCCACCACTGCCCCCACCACTGCCTCACTGTCCCCACCTCCTTGCCCACTGTACTACTGTCCCACCACTGTCCTCACCACCGCCTTCACCACTGTCCCCACCAAGACCGCCCCCACCACTGTCCCACTGTCCCCACCACTGTCCCGCTGTCCCCTCACCACTGTCCCCGCCGCCGTCCCCACTACTGTCCGCACCACTGTCCCGCTGTCCCCGCACCACTGTCCACGCCGCCGCCGTTCCCACCACTGTCCCAGCATCCCCATCATTGTCCACCTCTCTCGAGGAGCGGGAATCGTTTGCCGGCAGCGAGGGGTGGGGGGGGGGGTGGGGGGGGGGAAGGGGGAAAGGGGGTTCGAACCGGTAGTGACCCCCCCGGCTTTCGAGGGGGAGACCCAGGGGCCGCCAGGATCTTAATTTAAGAACGTGATGTTTGCTCTTATTTTGTTTTAGTATATCATGCTGGTTTAGGAGGGTTTTGCCATATTCGATCGTTTCCATGTTTTGCAACTATCGAAATACTGCGCGCGACGACGTTCGACGCTCTTTGCGAGGATCTCGAGAATTCTCCAGGGGCCAGCGGGCGACCCACGATTTCTCGGGCTGGCGGCCAAGGAGATAGCTGCCCGACACGCGCAGCAATCTACAGAGCAAGCCTTCCTGGCCGCTAGTTTGAGCAAGTTGGGGCCACGTGTTGGCCCCTGAAGAATATTCTAAAACAAATCCTCGCACTGAGCGTGGAAAAGGCCTCGCTGGGGACGTAACCAGGAGCCGGGTTCCTTCCCGGCGAGAGGAGGTCGACCCGTCCGGCGTCGGAGCCCGACTACTGCCGGAAAGCTCTTGGCGGCTGCACACCGCTGCCAGAGCAAGGTTTAAGCTGAGTTTACACTGCTCAACGAGATGTCGATGCGCATATACAGAGGGTTCACGTTTAGTATAGATTTCAGCGCGCAACTAGGCTAAACGGACCGATTGTTAAGTTAACGCACGTTTGAATTGCATTAAATTGCTCCTGACCGCGCGCGCATCACATGGCCGAGCGGGCGCAACGAACGCGCGATTCGCGCGCGCGCGTGCGCAGCAGCGGCGGCGACGACGAACGACACCGACGGCAGCGGCGATTTTGACGACGGCGACGGCAGCGGCGGCGACAACAACGGCGCGAAACGAAGACCCGACGATGAGAGATGACGACGACGACGACGACGACCACGATTCGCTGCGATTCGCCTCGCTTCGACCGCCGACGGCGGGCAAGGCGGGGCGACTCGCAGCGACGACGACGACGACGACAGCGACGACCGACGACGACGACGACAGCGACGACGACGCTGTCAGCACAGCACTGGCGACGGCGTGCACGTTGAAACCTCGACGACGACTCGGCGACTGCGACGGAGGCGACGACGGAAGACGGCGACGAGAGACGACGGCGGCGGTGGCGAGGCGACTCGACGACGGCGACGGCGGCGACGACTCGACGACGGCGACGGCGGCGACAACGACGGCGACGACAGCGGCAGCGGCGGCGGGACTACGTCGACGACAACCGCGACGGCGGCGACGACGGACGGCGGCGACGACGGCGGACGGCGGCGACGACGGCAGAGTCTGCTCTCCGCGCCTCTGTTTCGGCACAACGCGGCCTGCGCCGCGCCTCCTCTGGCGCTGAAGCCGAGCAGGAGGCCGCCCCCGCTCCGGGGACGCAGGAGGTGGGGGTGGAGTGAGACAGAACCGGAATGAGGATGAGAACGATGAGGATGAGCCAGGACGAGAACGATGGAGGAGTGGATGACGTCAGAAGGGAGGGAGGCCTCAAATACGAGAGCAGGGTTGGCTCCTCCGAAGGACTAAGATTACTCTCCTCCTCCTCCTCCTCCTCCTGCTCCTCCTCCACTGCTCCTCCACATCGTTTCTCATCCTGCTCTCCTCCTCCCTCCCCCCTCCTCCCAATCCCGCCTTCGCCGGTAGGCAGTGGGCGCGAGAGGACGGGGGGCAAACAGAGGTTGGCGAGAAGAGCATCGAGGGGAGAAAGAACTGTACACCGGAGGGCGATCGGCCTTCTCCACGACAACCGCGAAACGAAACAGAGCCTCCCAGCGTCGCGCCGAACGCTCCACGATCCAACTGGCGACTGCTGTAATATTACTAATTTGTTGCAACAGTTGCAACCTTGCGAACATTGCGCACTCGATGTCCAAGGTGGACGGTTGTTAGTTGAAGGTGTCGGGTTGGCTTGAGATTGAAACTTCTGTGTGTCACGTCTACGTCACGTTACGTAGGTGACTTCCAGTGTTCATGTGACGAGCTTGCACAGTGCGAATATTTGGATATGTGAATGCTCACTGTCCCTGTGCAGAGCTTGACACGGCATGCATGTAGATCGCACCTGCTTGAGCTTACACACTCTAAAGTAATCGTGGCAGTTGTTGGTCTCATTCGGTGTCGAATGTGGGAATATCGTTGGATGCCGAAGTGCAGTCCCAGACCCACGCGCCCATAGTTGAGACCATGGGTCCTAGTCGGTCTGCCACCTCGCGCCGCCGATGCTGTCTCATGCTCCAACGTGCTTTGTCAGTTCATGTGGGCAGCGGTGGCAGTGGCGAAAGCAGTGCAGATACCAGCCCTCGTGATTGCCAATTGTCAAACAAACTTGCCATATTGCCCTTCCATGTGGGACATGCTACGCGTGATTTTGTACTGCCAAATACTGACTTCTCAGACATTTAATTGCGTGCTGCCTCTCTTGAGTTGCCATCCGTGTGCCTCGATGATGTTGCAGCGTTGCATGAGTGTGAACTTGCTTCGACATGGTGTTGGCCTAAAGCGTTGACACGCCATGTTGCGAGAGTGGTTTGCAGGGCCATATCTGGATCGGTTCAGAGAAAGGCGAAGCCAACATGTGTGCCCGAGGCTGGGGTACAATGTTACCATGTTTCATTGGACCCATATGGTCCGTGCGGGGAGAGGGACTTGCTGGGCTAGGCCCCCGCGCGCCCTTTGCCCCGTCTTGTTGCATGAGTTGCACATCGCCGACATCATGTCCGTTGAGGTGGCCGCAGGAGGACAAGGAGGAGTGATCAGGAGGACCCTCCCCCCCTCGCTCCCGTAGCTGCCCGCTGCTCCCCTGCGCGAGGGGCACATCGCGCGGGCGTGCCTGGACGGCCAGGGAAACTCAGGGCGGACCTGGGCGGAGAGGAGCACGCGCCCCGGGGCACCCAGGAGCCCACCGCTCCCCAAGAGGGGGGAGGAGGAGGAGGAGGAGGAGGAGGAGGAGGAGGAGGAGGAGGAGGAGGAGGAGGAGGAGGCGGAGGAGGAGGAGGAGGAGAAGGAAGAGGAAAGGAGGAGGAGGAGGAGAAAGAGGAGGAGGAGGAGAAGGGGCAGGCAGGAGGAGAAAGAGGAGAAGGAGGAGGAGGCAAGAAAAGAGGCAGGATGAGAAGGAAGGGGGAGAAGGGGAGGTCAGGAGGATTACCGTCAAGACACTAGCATGTTCAAAGAGAACAGGCGCGAACAGAGCGGGGGAAGTCAGGCTGCGCGGCCGAAAGCGTTCACGCAAAAAAGGAGCTGGCAAAGCACGACGACAACAACACCAAATACGTACCTCCATGCGGCCGGGAAACTAGAAAGGCTGAACGTTCACCCAATTTCAGAAGGCCCGAAGGCCGCGAACATGTCTTTGTGCGCAGCCTCGACCCAAGCCTCCGCCTAAATGCGGTCGGGACGTTGGTATACCCACGGTGACCAGGAGGGTCACCTGGCCTGTGTAGACACGGTGCACAGAGCCATCCCCGCAAAACCCCTTGCCCGAGGGCAACCACATGGCACGCATCCTTCGACGACTAATTTTTCGAACTGATCCGAATGTGGTAGACTGGCGTACAGCGGACAGGATGCTACTCGCCGTGACCACCACCACCCGACGTTGGATAGTTTTGTCCCCGTCACGGTAGGAGTGAGGAACCCCGAAATCCTGGACCCGCCTGGCCGCGCACGGCCAGCCGGTGTCACACTCTAGACCCCAGGTTCCAGTCCTTCCCACCGCTGCGGATGCTTGGAGCGCCGACGACTACTTTCCCCAACCCTCCCAGGCTCGGTTCTAGTTTTGAATGATGCACTGTGATCTCCACTCCTCCTCCTGCTTCCTTCTCCCCCATCCTGCCTCCTGTTTCCTACTTCCTGTCTGCGGGGGCTGCGAACTGCGCAACCGTCGCCAATTTCGTGGGCTCCTGAGAGGCTCGGAAGAGCGGAATTCTAAACGCGCCCAGCCGAAACCTCACGGCTCCCCTGCGGGGACTGCGAAGTGCGCAACTGTCGCCAATGTCGTGGGCTCCTGGGAGGCTCAGCTGAATGGGGTTGTAAACAGACCCAGTCGAGACCTCTTCCCCTGCGGGGGCGGTGAATTACGCAAATGTCGCCAGTTTCGCTGGCTCCTGGGAGGCTCAGCGGAGTGGAGTCGTAAACGCACCCAGCCGAAACCTCGCGGCTCCCCCGCCGCGGGGGCGGCGAAGTGCGCAACTGTCGCCAGTTTCGTGGACTCTGCGAGGCTCAGCGGAGAGGAGTGGTAAACAAACCTAAGCGAGACCTCGCGGCTCCCTGGGGCCTGTCAAGTGCGCAACTGTCGCCAGTTTCGTTAGCTCATGGGAGGCCCAGCGGAGTGGAGTGGTAAACAGACCCAACCGAGACCTCGCGGTTCCTTGGGTGGCGGCGAAGTGCGCAACTGTTGCCAGTTTCGTTGAGCCCTGCGGTTCCTTCAACTGTCCTGTGCATCGTCGCCACATGTGCAGAAATAGTTGGGCATAGAACCACGCGCGCGCTTCGTGCGCGCTAAGGTTCTAGTCGACTCCGAAGACGGTGTCAATTTCCATGGGACCTTTTCCATGTGATCTTCCGGCTTCCTCCCTTTCACCCATGCGCGATTTTCGGGCGGATACTGCGAAGTTCAAGGAAGGGTTTGGCCTGTAGCGTACCAGCGACGACCGACGACGACGACGATCCACCGCCGATCAGCATCATTGTCACCTGATCCACGTGTGCGGGAGAGGCGTTTCCGGAGCGTCTTGCGAGCGTCATGGGGGCGTCCTCTGGCCTCGACATTGGGTGGTCGGGTCGGCGGGTGCAGCCAGGGCCACGTGTTCCGAAGGGCTGTCCCAGATCATGGAGGACGAAGGGCTTCTGGCGGGCTTCTGAAGGTCTGCGTAGAGGCCTCCTGCGAGCTCGGTGGGGGTTTCCCGGGAGCTTCTCGGGTCTTTCTGGAGCCTTTTTGGTGGCTTTTTGGGGCGTCGTGGAGGCCTCCTGGGAGTCTCTTGGGGCCTCCTGGAGGCCTCTTGGGGCAGAGGGCGCCTCTGTTCGGGCATTTGGGGGGCTCTCTGGAGCCTGCTGGGAATATCTTGGGCCAGCTTGGGAGCCTCTGGAGGGGTCCGGGGCCCCTGCTGAACCCTCTTGGAGCCCTCAAGGCCCCCCCTGCCCCCCATGCGAACAAAAGGTCGCAGTTCTGGGCCCATCCCGCAACCGTGTCTGGGTTGTGGGTATGATATCGTGGGATGCCTCTCGGGGGGCCTTTGGAAGCAGGTTTGAAGCCGCCACGGGGGTATTGTGGAGCTTGTCGGACCTCTCTTAAGCATCTTTGGGGCCTCTTTGGAGCCTCTTGGCGCGGGTACTTGGACGTTGACTGTGCCTCTGCGACAACAGCTACAACGCACACAGCGGCGCATGCTGCGCATGATCATCGGCACCACCCGACGACGAAGCACCGACGTCAGACCAATGCCCAGCGCGACCAGCCTGCAAGAGCCACCTTCGACACCAGCTCCGCGACCCAGCGCAGACAGCACCGACGGAGAAGACGTAGACAGCAACCCGCCGACCAACCACCTGAACAACGAAACCACCGACAAAAAAATCAACAACATCCACGGCAACAACGACAACCATCCCGACACCGACGATTTGGAACCATGGGTTGAATACGTCAAGCGAGCGACTCGATTAGTAGAGGCTCTCATGCACAAACGCAACCTACAATATTGGGTAGCACTGCAGCGAAAAATGGTATGGAGATGCGCAACCCGAGTTGCGAATCAACTATCGCACGAATGGACACAATGGACACAACGCGTTCTTCATTGGCACCCCAGCCTCCACGCCGCCCAGACCGGGCAACGGCATCATGGACGACAGTGAAGGGATGGGACGATGATATTCGCTGGTTCTCTACCATCATCAAGACGCAGACACCCGAATCCAGAAACCGCGGAGGCACTACGATCTCAACGACACCACGTGGTTACAGCTAGCTGCGACAAACGAATGGGAGCAGTTGGAAGACATCTTCGTGAACCACGCATCTCCCTGAGCAGGCGCCCGACGCGCGCAATTTTCGTGCGAGGCCAAGGCCTCACCCGCTTCGCCTTTAAGGGGCCCGGGCACATGCCCGCACAGGCGTTCCGTTCCGTTCCGTTCCGTTTGGAGCCATTTGGGGGCCTCTTGGGGCCTCTTGGGGGTCTCCGGGGGCGGGAAACTCGAACGGTCCGTTCGCGTTCCAACTCTTAGGCCCATCTTGGAGCCGTCTTCAGGCCGTCTTCAGGCCCTCTTGGGCCGTCTTGGGGGCCTCTTGGGCCGATCATGCAGCCCTCTTGGGCTGTCTTGGGGGCCTCTTGGGGGCCTCTTGGGGGCAGTCTTGGAGTGTCGGCCGATCGAAAACGTGAGAAACAACAAATGTTGGAAGCACACAATGAAAATCAATGATTTCTGCGTCTTGGGGCTCTCTTGGAGGTCCTCGCGGAGCGACCTTGGGGCATCTTGGGGGCCTCTTGGGCCGATCATGGGGCCATATCTTGGGCGGCTTGGAGCGCTCTTGGGACGTCTTGGCGGCTTCTTGCCGTCTCCAGAAGCCTCGGTGGACGCCTCGGTGAAGCGGGACAAATTCCGGGACTCCGAACACGGGCCCCTAGATGCCAAAAAAGGCCCCCGCAGCCCAGGGGGGAAATTCGGTTACAGGGGGGGAGTTTGGGAAAAGTGTGCGACCCTGGGCCGCGGGGCCCCGGACGCCGCTTATATTATATACGCCGCGGAGAAATAGTTCCCCCCCCCGAGATCAAGCCCGGGTGACGAACAGAAGGCTACCCGCCTGTTTTCCTGGGACGGGGGCCCAGTGGCACAGATGCTGGGGAGGGTAGGCGGAGGAGGAGGAGGAGGAGGACCAAAAATGTAAGGAGTGACGGAAAAGGGGGGGTAAGGGGGAGCAAAAAGAAGGGAAGGACACGACACAGAGGGAGGAGAGGAACAGCCTCTTCCTCCTCCTTCTGTTCCTCATTCTCCTCCATCTCCTCCACCTCCTCCTCCTCCTCCACATCCTTTTCTTCTTCCTCCTCCTCCTCCACCTACTCCCCCGTCCTACTACTCCTCCTCCCCCCCTCCTACTACTCCTCCCCCCTCCTCACACCAACCCCTCCTCTCTATTTCTCTCTCCGCGTGCCAGCGCGGCCGACCACCACTCGTCGATGTCCCTCCTCACGCCGTCCATCGTCTGCTCCCAGGTGTCTTCGGGGGCCTCGCCCTCCTCCGCCCTGGCCGGGCCGACCTCGTGCTCCTGCAGTGGCGGCCGCCAGGGCGCTCCGTCGGCCCGCCCCGATTTTCCAGCAGCCTACCAACTTCTCCGGTTCGTCCTCTTACTCCTGCCGAAATCCCGCCTCCACGGTGACCTCCTCCTCTCTCCTCCTCTCCCCTCCCCCTTGCCATTCCCCTTCCTATGTCCCCTTCCCCCTCTCTCTCCTTCACATTCCCCTTCCCCTTCCCCTTCCCCTTTTCACTCCCCTTCCCCATGCCCCTTCCCATTGCCATGTCCCCTTCCTCCTCCTTTTCCCCCTCCTCCTCGTCCTCCTCCTCCTCCTCCTCGCCTCCGCCTCCTTCTCCTCTCCCCCTCGTCCTCCTCCTCCTCCACCTCCTCCTCCTCCTCCTCCTCCTCCCTCCCTCCCTCCCTCCCTCCCTCCCTCCCTCCCTCCCTCCCTCCGCCGCTGCGCGCCCCCGGGGTGCCTGCTTGCACTCCAGGTGGTGCTTCCCTGCCGCTGCACGCTCCCGGGGTGCCATGATGCAGCTTCGCTGCCAGCTACCTTGTGAAACGAAATCTGTGTATTTCGTATCTTCCGGGTCCGGGGGCCGACCCCCCCCCGAGGCGTGCACATTTGTCCTCGTCTCTGCCTCTCTCTCTCTCTCTTTCTCTCTCCCTCTCTCCCTCTCTCTCCCTCTCCCTCTCTCCTTCTCTCTCTCTTCTCTCTCCCTTTCTCTCTTTGCCTCTGCTTTTTGAACGGGGCTCCTCTAGAACATAGGCGGAGGACTGACGTTGTTTTTAAGTCCCCTTTTTTCAGGTATCCCCCCAGGACGTTGCTGCCGGACATCCGCTTCGACTTTCTGCCTTCTTCCCCCACCCCCACCCCGGTGAGGACCATCATAGGCCTCACCAGTGAGGACCACCATAGGCCTCACAACCCCCTGCGGCTGCCACCATAGGGGCCGCTGGGGTCGCCCTCTCCCACCAATACACCAATACACCAATACTTCACGGCGTCAATAGCCAATGGAGGGGGCCGAGGACCTCCCTGCAGCCCCTCGGCCAACGAAGACGGCTGCAGGGAGGGGTCCAAACGTACCTCCACCTTCATGCACCAATCAACCAACACACCAGTAAACCAACTCCTCATATTCCTCCATGGGGCCGTGAACGGGATTTATCCCCTGCCGGCTGACGGTGCCTGTCAATGTCAGTAATCTAATACTCTGTGGCGTCAGTTGCCAACCCAGTACACCAGTACACCAAGAGTGACGGTTCGACCCGTGCCGCCGCGGCGTCACATGTGCCGCCGCGGCGTCACTCATGAGGTCGTTCCCGCTCCCCGCCCTTTAACCGAGCTCGCCAAGGATGGGTATGTAAAGCCCTCCCAGCCACCTCCGTCCGCCACTTGGGGCGCAGGTGCGCGGCTGGGCCTACTCCCCTCCTCCTCTCCCCCCCCCCCGCCTTTCTCTAAGGATGGGTATAGCCGCCGTCCAATCTACACGTCCAGAGCAGCGGCCCTCGCCGAGAGCTGTCCAGGGGCCGCCTTGGATCGTCCCCCCCTGTCGCTTTGTTTCGGCTTCGGGTCCCCCGGTCAGGCCGCTTTCCTCTTTCAGGTTTCCCGTTTCAGGTGCCCCTGACAGGACTTTTGGCCGCAGCTCCGAGGTTCGAGGCGTCCTCTTCTTGCTGTGTCTTTTTCGTCGTGTGCCCCTGGGGGGGTGGTCGTGTGTGTGTGTGCGTGCGTGCGTGCGTGCGGCGTGTGTGCGTGCGTGCGTGTGTGTGTGTGTGTATCTGTGTGGTGTGTGTCGTGGGTTATGGGTGCATGCCCCTGCGGGTATTCCACCCCATGGGATGAAGCCAATAAGTGCCTTTGGGTGCACCGATCCATCCATTGTTTTTGGGTGTACCGGCCTGTCCGCTGTCGAATCTCCGTGCCTTTGGGTGTACCGGTCCATCCGTGCCGGCGGAAAAAATAAATCGCACCCGCGGGGGTACAGGTTGTGGATACCTCCAGCCTGTGACCCTTGTCGGCCTCTGGGGGCCTCCTCTGGTCACCGGGCTTCGGCCGGTTTAACGTCACCACGCTTTGCTTTCGCACTCCAGGTGGTGCTTCCCTGCCGCTGCACGCTCCCGGGGTGCCATGATGCAGCTTCGCTGCCAGCTACCTTGTGATACGAAATCTGTGTATTTCGTATCTTCCGGGTCCGGGGGCCGACCCCCCCCGAGGCGTGCACATTTGTCCTCGTCTCTGCCTCTCTCTCTCTCTCTCCCTCTCTCCCTCTCTCTCCCTCTCCCTCTCTCCCTCTCTCTCTTCTCTCTCCCTCTCTCTCTTTGCCTCTGCTTTTTGAACGGGGCTCCTCTAGAACATAGGCGGAGGACAGACGTTGTTTTAAGTCCCCTTTTTCAGGTATCCCCCCAGGACGTTGCTGCCGGACATCCGCTTCGACTTTCTGCCTTCTTCCCCCACCCCCACCCCGGTGAGGACCATCATAGGCCTCACCAGTGAGGACCACCATAGGCCTCACACCCCCTGCGGCTGCCATCATAGGGGCCGCTGGGGTCGCCCTCTCCCACCAATACACCAATACACCAATACTTCACGGCGTCAATAGCCAATGGAGGGGGCCGAGGACCTCCCTGCAGCCCCTCGGCAAACGAAGACGGCTGCAGGGAGGGGTCCAAACGTACCTCCACCTTCATGCACCAATCAACCAACACACCAGTAAACCAACTCCTCATATTCCTCCTCCCTCCCTCCCTCCCTCCCTTTCTCCCTCCCACGTCCTCCTCCTCCCCCCCCTCCTCCTCCTCCTCCTCCTCCTCCTCCTCCTCCTTCTCCTCCTCCTCCTCCTCCTCCTCCTCTTCCTCCTCCTGCTTCTCCGCCTCCTCCTCCTCCTTATCCTCGTCCGCGTACTCGCCCTCGTCCGCGTCCTCCTCCTCCACGCCTTCCCCTTATAGAAAACGTTTTCCTGTCGCACCCCGAGGCCAGCTTTTAGTGCGGGCTGGGCGTTTCGCCTGAGACTTCCTCACCACTCATGACCCTGAACCTTTAAAAACGTGACAACCGCTTCACATATGGAGAGCTGATCGTTTTCCGCCGTAGCGCCGCGCATACTCGTTTTAAACATGTGCAAGAGCTTCACGGATTGAGCGCGGGTCGAGTTGGCTCTCACCTATTCGTTTCAAAAGGTTGCACAAGTTTCACGGATTGACGGCGGGTGGTGTTCAAAATGTGGCTCTCGCCTGAGCGCCGCGCATATTCGTTTTTTTGTTGGGCAAATGTGCCAGTGCTTCACGGATTGAAGGCGGCTCCGTTTCCATATCTGGCTCTCGCCTTAGCGGCGCGCACATCCGTTTGATGTTGAAGTCCCAGGAATAGTTTGCTGGCACGATTCGGGACCACCGAGACGAAACAGTCAAGGTGATCCGTGGCGTTGGAATCTCGAGAGACATGCTTTGGTCCAAGGTCTTCGAGTGGTTGTTTTCCAACGGGGCACTTCCCTGTGGAAATGATCCGTTGCAGGGGCCTACGACGAGGGAGCTTGGAGGGAGGGTTCATTCTAGCATCGTTGATGACTCTTGGGTTTGCACTGGTCCTCCTCCTCTTCCTTCCTCCTCCTCCTTCTCCCCTCCCCCCTCCTCCCCCTTCCCTCCTCCCGCTTCCCTCCTCCCACCAGCCTCCTCCTCCCTCCCTCCTCCCTCATCCCTCCTTCCCCACTCCTTCCTTCCTCTTCCCTCCCCCTCCCCCTCCCCCTCCTCCTCCTCCTCCTCCTCCTCCTCCTCCTCCTCCTCCTCCTCCTCCTTTTCCTCCGTCAACTCATGTTTCTCCGCCTTCTCTTCCTCCTCCTCCTCCTCTTCCTCCTCCCCCCCTTCCCCTCGTTCTCCGTCTCCTCCTCCTCCTCCTCCTCCTCCTCTCTCCTCCTTCTCTCCTCCTCCTCCCCCTCCTCCTCCTCCTCCTCCTCCTCCTCCTCTTTCTCCTCCGCCTTCTCGTCCTCACCCTCCTCCCACTCATGTGCCTCACCCTCCTCTCACTGGTCCCCATCAGTTTCCCCGCCCGTTTTCTCATTATCATCGTCATCTTTAGCATCAGCATCATCATAATCGGCATCATCATCGTCATCACCATAATCAACACCACCATCAACATCAACATCATCATCACCACCGTCATCGTCTTTGCCACCGTCATCATCACCACCACCACGATTATCGACAGCATCACCATCGCCAGTATCATCATCACCATCGTCATCAACAACATCACCATCACAGCCATAATCAATATCGCCTCGGTCATCATCATCATCACCACCACCATCACCACCACCACCATCATCAACATCATCCCCATCATCATAATCAGCAGTATCATCCACACTATCATCATCATCATGATCATCATCATCATCATCATCATGATCATCATCATGATCATCATCATCACCATCATCATCATCAACACCATCATCATCATCACCATCATCATCATCAGCATCATCATCATCATCACCATCATCATCATCAGCATCATCATCATCATCATGATCATCATGATCATCATGATCATCATGATCATCATGATTATCATCATCATCAGCAGCATCAGCAGCATCAGCAGCATCAGCATCATCGTCACCACCTCACCCACCATCAACATAATCCCGCTGTGCATGGTTGCAGCTCGAGAAATAACATGACTGGCGGAAGCCCTAGCGCCAGCGCTGTTTTGGCGAGACGGGGCCAGCAGATGCTATCGCAGGAGCTCGGAACGTCGAGCAGCCCGCGTCCGACGGACGCGCCGAAGCGGCCGTGGATCCCTCCGCCGAGGCCGCTGTGGATCCCGCCGCCCCCCCGACGCTTCATTCCCCGCCGCCGCGCCCCAGCGTGGATGCGACTCCAAGGCCCACTCCTCGATGAGAGGTCCGCGCGCGAACGACCAGATCCAGGGGGGCCACACGCGCTGGGCCGACGACCCCGTCGCCCCCCGCCCTCTTCGGCAGGTAGCTTCCGACGATGAAGAGCAGCCGCCTGGGCTAGCTGAA